AAAAAAAAAAATCAACTGACTTATTGGAAAGCTGTCCAACAAAACTTATTAAATAAACTCGAACTAAAGAAAAAACTCGTCTTACAAAACCATACTTATTTGTATACAAAAATCTTATAAGCAAATCACATCAGCTATAGATTAGCTTATGGTACTTATCAAACACGCCCTAATTTGTCTCGTTTGAGTTGGAATTCAGCTCACTAATATTGATAAACGGAGCTCAAACTCATGAACAAAAAGCCCTACCTCAACAAGTCTTGTTTACACATTAGGATCGAATCCATTTTGTGTGGCACCTTCTTGTATGAGTGTCGTATATTGTGTTTGGTAAGCATATAAGCTAGCTTATAATTTATTTTATTAGCTTGTAAGTTTTCTGTACTCAAGTTTGGTTTGGCATGACGATCTTTTTAAAAAACTCGAGTTTATCTCATAAGTAGCTTTTTAAATAAGTCCACTTGAAATTTTTATTTCAAACTAATTTTATCAAACACTTTTATCATATGAGTTAACTTTTCAACCATAACCTCAAAATTTATATAAAAGCTAAAAACGAGCTTATCCGTTATGTTTAGTAGTTATCAACTAGATTTATCAAACAGAGTCGGTGAATGCTAATTAACAGCTTTATTAAGATTCTTATCCATCTCAAATTCTCAATGCACAAATTGCATTTTTCTCATGAATATATAAAAACAACAGCTTCAAAATCCCTAATCCCGAACCAAAACCCTCGAGCCCCTCTGCCTGACTTTCTCCAGAAGGGCTCGTCCATTGGGTTTTTTTGTTCATCATTTTGTTTTCCTTCTGTTTTGACAGAGAATCTTCATATGTTCATCTTTTTTCATCGTATTTTCTTGCTAGAACCTTTTTCATGCGACAGCACAGACAAAATCGTACGAGTGAAAATTACGATGCTGTCCGTTTTCTAGCTAATACAGGCGAAAAGGGCTGTGAAGAACAAAAAAAGGTATGCGGTTCTGATGTGATTACAGGGAAGCCCTTTTGAGTTGATTGGTCATTTATTAGTCCCTTAATCCTGAGGCATGTTTCACATCAGGCTTTCTTTGTAGGGCATAGTTCAAGATTCAATTTTTAATTTCCTGTTATGATGTTTTCTGGTAAGATATAGCTTAATCTCTTGTGTTTAGGCCAATTCTGCATTATTGGAATCTGATTTATTGTTAAATCATGTTTTTTTTTTTTTAAAAAAAAAAAATTATATAAAGGTGTGATGTGCATGTATCTCCTTTATTTGGGAAATGCTACAATCCCGTTACGGAATCATTTCGTCAGGATTTGTAACCGTTAGATCATCATGTAACCATCGTGGATATTTGATCTAACGGTTACAAACCTCGACGGAATAGTTTCGTAACGGGACCGTAGAATCTCCCACTTTACTTGGATTTCCCTTTGGACTAATTGGCCTTTTCTCCTAATTACTGGTTTTGTAAAGATTCTTTGTCTTGTTTTCTTCATCTTTATATGTTTTCTTTCTGACATTTGTTTTCCAGTAATGGAGTAGTTGTGGCTCTATGTAGTATGTAATAATTCGATATCAGCTCCATTCAGAAAACAGTTCTATTTTTTATTTTTTTAGTTTATTTAGTTATCTCCCCTTAGTTTCCAGTTTAACTCCCAAAATCCTGTTAGAAAAGGCAATGGAGAGTGAGAATCAAGTACTAGAATCCCGAAAGAGTAGCTCTTTTCGCCGATTAAGCAGAGGGGATTCTTCTAGAAGGATCTCTCTTCTTACGGACGAGGCATTTGAGAACGAATCTGTGTCCGAAGCAGGGGACATTGGGGACCGAGCCCTTCACAGTAACAGAATCAGTAACTCTCTCCCGGTTTTCGAAAACTCAAATCCTGTTTCTGTTGATGAAGTTGCTCAATCTGTAGGAAAAAAAGAATGTTAGTGTTGTTATTCTGTTTCTCGATTTGTTAAGTTTTAACTTTTACTACATAAATAATTTCTTCTAAAAGTAGAAGTATTTTTTTATTTTTTTTTTCCAAACACTCTCATTGTATATCTTGTGATAGATTTGCAGGAGGAGAAAGATGTGCATTGGCTTTTGCAATACATTACTTGCCTCCTTTCACTTGCCGTGTTCGGTATTTTAGGAGTAAGCTGCTAAAACTTTCTGATGAATGTTTTTTTCTGTTTTGAATTCTTTCGAAGTCTATGTTGTTTTGGTTTTGAGCCATAATTGGTTGGTTTATGCAAAGAGATTGAGAAAATACGGGGAATATTTTACTTCTTATTCTTTATTTTTTTTCCTTTTTTTTTTTGCGCTAATGTTATAATCCGGCAGGTCGTAGCTCGATATAGCCTTGAGAATCTCTTTGGACCCAATGTAATTGGTGCAACAAGTGACCATAGCTACATGTATCTTGATCTTCCTTCGAATATGGTCTCTCTCTCTCTCTCTCTCTCTCTCTCTCTCTCTCTGCATAGTAACATTTTTGAAATGTTAAAGAACCATGAAAATCATTGCATTAACTCAGTAAAAGATGCTGGCTTTATTTTATGTGGTACACATAAGTTGTATTAGCTGCTTCGAATTTGCATGACCCATACTAAATATATTGATATGTTAATTCTCGATCTTTTATTTTATTTTATTTTTTATTTTTTTTATTTCAGGTTGGTTCTTTTTTGATGGGTTGGTTAGGCGTTGTTTTTAAACCGGACATTTTGCGAATTTCGGACCAATTAGCAATTGGACTGACAACAGGTTTTCTGGGAAGCCTAACGACTTTCAGCGGTTGGAATCAAAAAATGCTTGACCTTAGTGTTGAGGGCCGCTGGGTATTTGCCGTGCTCGGCATATTTTTAGGTAATCAAAAATCGAAATATCAAATTAATAAATCAAATGCCCTTGGGCTGTACTTGATAAGCATATAAGCTAACTTATAGCTCATTTGATTAGTTTATCTCATAAGCTTCGTTGGGTAGCTTTTCAAATAAGTCCATTCAAATTTTCGTTTCAGCTAATTTTACTAAACACTTTTATCATATAAGTTAGCTTTTCAGCCATAAGTCATAAGCTTTTCAACTATAAGCTCGAAATTCACTTAAAAGCTATAAGCTAGCTTATCAGTTAGGTTTACCAAACATAGCCTTAATGTATTCTCAGTTAATTTATTTCAGCATATTTCTTGACAGGTTTGTTTCTAGTCGCGTATTCAATAATTTTCGGGATCGAGACTGCAAAAGGATTCAGGTGGCTTCTTACAAAATCATATATAAGATCATTTTGCAGCAAAAAACCGTGCCTCAATCCATATACTTCGAACGAGTCTCATTTTCTGGTGACATTCATGGTGATTCTTTTACTGATGCTGGTTCTGTTGTGGGGTTTGTTTGGAACCTTAGCAGCGAAAGAATTCGAAGAAGGTGGCAATAGGGCGCTGCTGTTCTTGGGCTGTTTGGTGGGCCCTTTTGGCGTGTGGGCCAGGTGGTTCTTGGCCTGTTTTAACGGACGTGGCTTGGGTAAAAACGGCGTGGCAAAATGGATGCCATTCGGGACTCTTGCTGCAAATGTTATTGCGGCTTGCGCAATGGCTGCCCTCGCGACTCTTAAGAAAGCGGTAAGAAGAATCATTTTCTTACGGGTGACTTGTATACAAATCCATATCCAAAGTCTAACTCACTTTAATTCAACTCACTATCTTCAATATTATCAATATAATTAAATAATATCAATCATTCATTATTACACATCACATCAACTTTAATTCACTATTCATCTACTCACATAATT